CCCCGCTCCTGGGCCAGAGCTGCATCAGCACAGCCTCCATATTATCGCTCCACTTCATAACGCAATAAAAAACAAGGAAACTCAAAGAAATCCAGTGGAAGCCGCGGATGATTATAATCTTCGGCGGAAAAGCGAGGCCTCGAGCTGATTTTCATCGAGTGGATTAAATCTCTCAAATCTCCTGCACAGCGGCAAATATCCATGGAAACCACTTTTTTTTTTCAAATTTTCCCTCAGTGTGACCGGCCCCTTACCGCATAAAAACGAACATTTCACAGCAGGGTATTTTAGTGTGGTACAGTCAGCCATCTGAAGTAGAATTTACTCGTGGGGGAGGGATGGCTGAGCCGAAAAATTTGGAAATTTAGAGCCCAAATCAGTGCATTTTATTGATTCACCGGGTACTTGGGGCAAATTGTGGTACGGTCAATACCGTAGTGACCGTACCGTGTGCGACGCCCCTGCACAGCTTGAGTAAGGGATAACCCCCCCCCCCTCCCATCAATAGATCAAGCTTACTACAAAAGTCCTCGTCAACGCCATTGTCACAATCTGGCACATCATTACACCAGTCCTTTTCGTGAACGCATTGTCCAGGGTTAGTTTGGCTTTGTCCACACTTCAGGAAGTCTGTGGGGCAATCTAGACACAGTGCAAAGAACACAACACACACAATGGTCACACATACCGCAATGCCGGGTATAAAAGTAGGTGCTTACGGCCGTATAAGCTGGGGTTTGAACCATGCTTCTGTCCAAGTTATGCTTCTATTCAAAACATGTTTCTACGTAGTGCGCCCATTGCATCTAGCATGCAGTGATGCATTCCCTGCACTGTGAACTGCACAGTGTAGTCTACTTGCACACTCAACAGTGCGTACCGTCACGCATGTAATGACCTGCTTCTACAAATCATGCTTCTGTATCACGGTGCACTGCGAGAATTCGGCTTCTATTCGACTCGTGCTTCTATACGGTTCATGCTTTTATACGGCCCATTACGGTATGCACCCTTTTAAACAGCTCGATCTGCTGCATGATGCATAATTTTTAAACTATGAACCAAGGCCCAATGATTGAGCAGTAAAACAGCTAGTCCCTGGCCTGTATGCGTCAGGGAGTCGTAACATACCGGTATTTTACGACTCCCTGGTATGCGTGCAGAACTATCCCGCATATTAGGCACGTGGCAGAATTGCCTTGCACAAATAGAAATAGAAAGGCACGACACTGAATGTTGATGGACTCACAGCTCCCGTCGCCGATACTCAGAATCTCTTTTACTACTCTCCCATTGCGAGCTGTGTCATACAAACACGTTTCTACTTTCTACAGTCCATTCAGAAAAAGATGGGCCCTGGCTCTGGCGAGCTCCCGTATTTGGCGATTTTTCGTGATTTCATTGTACACAGTGCAGTTCTGCGAAATTTGAACTTTGAAAAAGAGTCCAAAAAGGGTACCTGAACTGGGGTTCGAACCCCACAATGCACTGTTGCAGGCAGGGTCAAACGGCCTGGATTTTGATGGTTTTTTCCAATTCAATGCTTCTGGGGCAAAACCTGGCCAATATCCTATTCTTGTTATGGCTTGCTTTTTGGACAAATAGACTTCAGAAACATAATTGGAAGAGGATTCCATAGGGGATTGCAGAAAAAAATTCTAAAAAAACTCAAAGTTTGACCCATTTATGGCCAAAAGCTAGAAGTCCATCTTTTTCTGAATGGACTGTAGTACACTGTGAGCGTTTCTACTCCATGGCCCGTCATTGTGCTGGACCACGCTAGCATTGTAGTATGTATGTGCAAGCACTAGAAGCAGTGGTAGAATTATATCCTGGGGGGGTTCAGACAGGCGATGCCTTATTGCAAGGAACCCTAGATGGGGGTTGGTCTGACGAACAAAAACATCGGGAGATTATGCTTGGCAACAGTCCAAGGGAAGAGCATTCCACTGATCTGCCACCACAAAGGAAACTGAGTGCAAGCCAAAAGCAATGTGTACGGAGGGCAAAACTATGGCTCTAATAAATAAATAAATTTCACTGTTCGCGTGAGACTCGGCTGGAAGCCGAGTTTTCCGCATCCGCCGTGGGAACGCCACCACCCTCTAGGATCAAAGGCGCAGTATGGCTCTAGTGACGGGGCTATTGTAACCTTTTTGTTGCCTGATGATTGCGAGAGCATGAAACTTGAAGCAGCAGCAAACAAGCTTCAATTGCCCTTGTTGTTCTGTTCTGTAACCTTTTTGATGTATACACTACCGTTATTGGCCACAAGTTTATTGCACAACAGAATAAAGCGGCTCTTCATCTTGTTGAATAAAGCAGCCATAGTAACCGCATTCAAGTTGAGCTGCTGTAGACTCGATTTAATTGGGGTCACCCAATGTCAATAGATGACTTGCACAAAGATTGTCTGGGTTCGAGACGGGGCAAGTGGACCTTCTGACTCTGACTTCCCCACCTTTTGAGTTCGTGACTTTCGAAGTTTCGCTTTTTGCCTGACGAACGCTGAGCTAGTTTTTTTTGGCTAGAGAGTAGAGTTGTTTTGATTCGGCTTGTATCGTCATGCCGAAGCGCTGCTGCGCTCCTGAATGCACTAGCAGACGAGAGATGGAACTGAGGCTCCCATTCCATACGTTCCTTTCCGAGCCGGGAGGCAGACAAATGAGGGAATATTATTTTAGTATCGTTGGTGTAGGCTGCAACAAGCACGTCGTGGTCCTGAAGTGTGACTACTTTCCCGCACTGGAAGCGAAGTCAAGCACAACGAAAGTTTGTGGACGTCTGAGAAAGAACTCGATTCCCTTTGATTCGGCTGCACTAGCTCCAGAGCGACCCTCTCCTGAGGACAGACTGTGGAGAGGCCAGGAACCTGCCGAGTCACGAGGGGAAGGCTTCAAGCCCAAACCACGAAAATGAAGGGTGGAAGGACTGAGTGTGAGAGCCAGATGGCCTTTAGTAGTACTTCAAGCAGTATCTGAGTTGAAGGAGAGAACAAGTGTGCTGGAGAAACGCTGCGAAGTCCTCAGGCCTGATGTGTACTAGCTACTGTTGAAGTCTCACTTGTTCCAATATGAACACTTCATCAGCCCTGACTCTGAGCAGCTGTATCTAGACTTGGACTTAGGCCAGAGACATAGCATTGTAAACCTTACTGAAGCCATATGTATCCAATGCCTGGCTCTAGTGAGAAAGCAGTTTGGCGCAGGCTCGCAAACTATGATTGAATCAGGGAGTGGTGGAAAGTCACATTATACCTCTCCATGATTAGCTGGTAATGACGTTGATGCGGCTCCGGCTGGGTCTCATGGGAAAGTAACTTGCCGTGATACCTGTTTAGTTGCAACGAGGCAACGGTACCCCATGTGCTGAAGACATGATTGAACTACATTTTATCTCCTCCTGGGAGAATGTGGAACAAATAATGCCAGAGTGTGTCTGATACACATCACAGTCTGCTGAGTATGTTCATTATTGTGGACGTAACAGAACTGCGCTGTGAGGTACCTTCTGCGTTGGACCTACAGTTGAGCCACTACTCTTCTTACAAATTCCGGTGAAAGGATTTGTTGGAGCATCATCAAACAGTGCGTTCGCCTTCATCATACATTGGCTCCGTTGCCTAAAGTAATTCACATTTTGACGGGGCGCGCTGGGACGATACGGAAGGAGCGGCGGGAACCATTGGAGTGCTCATGATGCTGGTTAGCGGAGGCGGATGTGAGTGTCAGGAACGGGAACGCAACCGCACTATTGTACAGATCAGGAAGCGATGGAAGAGTTGAATCTGTTCAACCGTCCATGCCGTGTACAGGGACACAAACGTAAAAATGGCTACATTTCGAATGTGAACTGGCGATGGCATTGTGTGGCGACGAACACAACTGCAACTGTTCAAATTTCAGCATTTCGAACATTATGCTTCCCATCGAATGGCTCACATGACGGAGTTGGACATTACCAGGCTAGGATTATCATTTGCTGTATTTATGGCTAGTCCTTGAGTTTTCAGATGAAGTGCTTCATCTTTTACCTTTACCTGTCGTTCCTTTAGAATGGCACAATGTCCATGGCTGCTTCCTTGTCTTCATAACAGACTGCTATAATCAGCATGATTCTGCTTTATTTGAGAAGAAATAAAACTTTCCTTTCGGAAAGGAAGCCCAGAAACGTCAACCCCCATGGACTGTGCTTTATGACTCTCGTACATCGACGTTAACCGTCGCAATACCTGCTGCATGTATGTTGTGCTGTGCGAACCGTACAAGATTTTACAGCTCACCCACGCCTTCCCAACAGGCTCCTATATCCCGTACAGTTAGCGTTACATTGAATATGAACTAGGCTAGCACAGTTATCCTTCGTCCTTTTGATGGCGGCGGGTAGCATGGAACTTGACGTGTTCTTGGGATCCTCGTGCAACACTTGCTGTTCCCAGATGCCATATTATTGGGTGCATCGAGGTTGCTTCTATGCTCACTGTTGTTTAGTAAGACAAATTTTTTTATAAATATTTCATCGAAGAATAAGGCAAGAGTATTTTGGGTTGGTTTGGACGCCTGGCTTCTCTTCACATAATAATTATACAGTGAGTCATGTACTTCCACTAACCCTACAAGTACAGTGCACATGACTCATGAGCTGCTGAAGACAACGACGGTGCACGGCATGTACATGTACCTGTACATGCCGTGCACCGTTCATTCATGCTGACAAAAAAAGTACACTACAGTACAGACGGTGCAGGGTGCCCGCAGTGTAGCCTGGGTGCACAGGGTGCACTTGCCCCGTCTCACTCGCGGCTCGGATCTTTGTGCAAGTCATCTATTGCAAGTGAGTATGCAACATATGTACAATGATCGCTAGTCTACAAGCGGAGCATATTTGCCTTACTTGGGGCTGGTTGGACGGTAGTTCCACAAAGGTCCACTCCCTCATCAGAGCCATCTCTGCAATCCACAGCACCGTCGCAATGCCACTGCCGTGGTATGCACTGAGTGCCGTCGCTGCACAAGAACGACAGGTGATCTCTGCAGGTTTCTGGAGACAGAGGGAAAACCACGCAATATTGGCATAACACGATGATGAAGACATAATTATGCAGACTTTGCTTTGCATTGAAATAGTGGAACATAATAACCCAGGAACTTATTTGCCGGTATGCAGTGACAATGTATTGCAGTGCTGACTGATTTGGCTCAACCGCACAAGCTAGCTACAGTATAATACGAAGAGCTGCAATCAGAACGAGACGTAATGTAAGAAAGGAATTAGCGTGGACACCAGGAGTACTAAAAACCCGTTTTATTAGTACTCCTCAGTGTACACACTGCTCCTTTCTTGACTTATGAAGCTGCGAGAACTTGGCTCGGCACTTCTACAAGTTAAAACTTTCTACACGTTGATTTCATTTCTGTCTCCACGAAAACTGTTTACTTCTATATGTTGGTTGTTTTTGGTTATTCCTAATTGAGGGATGACTTTCCACTGATGAATATCATGCGAACACGTTTTGGAAATTAGTACTTTGACATCTTTGACATTGTTTAATATGACTGCAAAATTTGTTTTATTCATTGCCATTTTACTTCTACAAGTAAAAAGGAAGTTGATTGTTCCAACTAGGAACACACGCTTCTTGCCGAACTTGACACTTTGGAACAATCAACTTCATGACTATTACCGCCGAAGTCGCAAGTAAGTAAAAAGGAAAGGACAAAATGGTACGAGTTATGACTGACTGTCCACTGACCAACGTAACCAGATCATATACAGTCGGCGAGTCAGAGAGTCATAACTCATACCATTTTGTCCTTCTCCTTTTTATCCATGATTACATTGGCTCACCTTCCGAGCTAAACTTCTGCCAGTGTTAGGAATATAAAGTATTTTAGTGATCGGAAATGATATTGACCGTAGCACCTTGTTCCGAGGCTGTGGTCATCTTCTTGTTCCTGGACCCTGCGGGCATTTCCATGGCAACTCCATGTCTCAAACCAATGTCCTCGCTTATCAGGTACTGGAATATGCTTGGGATCCAGCCACATCTTCATATTGGGTAGAGCAACACCAACTCGCAAGCAAGGCCAAAGCAGACGTAGCTTCTAGAGCCGCAGACATACACGTATGGACTTAAAACTGTGTAACACCAGTACAGTCGCACACTGGATAGGTAGTAGAGGTGTGGCGGTAACATCCCACTCAGCAACCCGGTATCTCTCTCCAGAGTCAGCCGATGCCGGTGTCTTGCACCTAGATGACCGTCTGGACGAATCTTCCACAAAACAGTTAGACATGTGTTGCAATCAAATCACCCCACACCTGTTGACCCTCCACAAGAAAAAACCCTACTAGAAGGCGATGCAGCAACAAGCAATCCCATCTCATTCCAGAGAATAACGCCCGAACTGATTCGCAAGATGTCCCAAGAAATGAAGGGTTCTTCTGGCCCATCTGGTGTTGATGCAGATGGGTGGTGCAGAATGCTCCCCAGTCACAACATCCCCAGGATCTGTCCGGCTCTGGGAAGGATATTTCAGAAAACCTACTCAGACAAGATCAGACTTTTTGTGACTGGCGGCTGCGAGGTTCTCTCCCGAGAAGGAACCTGTCAGGGCGATCCCTGGCCAAGGCTCATAGAGATGGCTTCTGTCCCTCCCGATCCGTTCCGGAGGCTTTTGCAATCCTCATGGTGGCAAAGTCTGCAGAGGCAGAGCATCAGGCATCACTTGCTATCACAGCGCCAATAGTGAAAATATGCTCCGCACCCACCCAAACCAAGACGCCGCCCAGCTACCAGCCCGGACCAAAACTCGCAAAGTTTCTCGAGTATCGCGGAGGGTATGGCTAATCCTGTTCTTGAAGCCGTTGGCAAGGCACGAGGCATCGCCCGACAAAAGCGCCAGGGAAAAGTCAGTGGGTACTGACGGTAGCAGACAGACCTTGCTGCGTCGGAGCTTTCACCAGTCCAGTGGCAGTTGCTCGCAGTAGCAGACGAAAAGGGTACGTCAATGTGCTTGACAGCATACCCATCCTGAAAAAGCCGCACCGTGCTGAAGAAGTCGAATTCAGAGACACGTTATGTGTAAGCTATGGTCTGACATTTGAAAGTGTATGTCATCATTGTGTCTGTCAGAAGTCCATGACTACCCACCACGCCCTCACGTGCACGACTGGCGGTTATCCGCCGTCTCGCCATAACGAGCTTTGGGACCTTCTGGCCGGCGTACTGCAGGCGGCTGCCAGATGTCGAGATGGAGCCACGTTTGCTCCCACTACACGGTGAGGACATCTCTGCCGCCTCGGCTAATCGTCAGCCAGAGGCACATCTGGACATCTGGGCTAGGGGTTTAGTAGCATGCCTTTTTTATGTAATGGTCACCAGGTCACAGACCTTGGGTCGTTCTTGCTGTCTCGTCCGGAAACCCCTAGCCACCAGAGAACACATGAGCGAATGAAGAAGGCGGCGTATGGTGCCGGAGTTGACCAGGTGGAGAGAGCATCATTCACCCCATTGTTGTTTTCTACCTCAGGTGTGGCGGGCAAGGAAACCACCGTATTTCTGAAGTCACCGGCTGCTTTGGTTGTAGACAAAAACATAGACTTGATGTATTCTGCCGTGATGGGTGAGCAATGCACCCGTGTGTGATTTTTCCTGCTGTGATGCGCAGTCACATGTTTTAGGTGTTGCAGAGCCTCTTACATCCGCCGAACGGCCGGGACTTCCCCTTTTCAGCATATTGCCGCCGACTGTGCAGAGGCGTGACTTCACATTTGCATGCCGGTATCGCGGTAGGCTATTTATATGTACAGTCAATTTCGCTAATAACGACTGTGGACATAACGACAATTCGCGAATAACAACAGAATTTCCATGCCCAGAGCAAAGGCCATTCTACCTGTATGCATATAATGAGGCTTCGGGTATAACGACACTTCGCGAATAAGGACAATTTTCTGATGCCCGGCCGAGTGTCGTTATACGCAAAGTTGACTGTAGGTATCTGTTTCTTCCCAAGCTTTTGTGTTCTATCTTAAACATTTCAATTTAGAATACACTCGGATTTCAATTGAGTGTTCTATTTATTGCCGAATTTGGGTTGTATTTTTGCTTCGATTCTTACTTTATAGTTTCACGCGATTGGCTGTGTGAATAATCCTGTTCTCAAGTAATTTTAGACTAATTGATACAATCATTTACTGATGAATACGTACAATTTAGGTTTGATCTCCATTTCTCATTAAGCTTGCATCGCAGCACAACACATAATAATATCGTCCCTTAGTTTGAATTGAAAATCACTTCCGAACAACTTAGAACATACTTTATCAATGTATTTTAAAATTATCTTGAACTATCTGAACGAATTGTATACATGTAAATCCATCTTCACAATCCTGTCTCCCTCTCCCCTTCCCCCTCTTCCTATTTTTGTATAGATTGACGGTGGAGTAATGCATCTTGTCTCTGTCTACCATGCCCTTCCCCGGCACCTATGGCAGCTAAAAAAATGTCTCTACATACTTACCCCAAGCATGCTCTGGACACCATGTAAAGTGGTAACGTACTCGGGCCAGCCGGAACCGGTCCGGTTGGTCAACTTTGTGGCTACCAACGCATGTTTACTGCTGAGGAGAGCATAATTATGTACCCGCCATAGCATACATGTATGTACCCGCCATGGCATACATGATAAAGTATGAAAGACTGTCATACGACCAGACCAATTGAAAACTGCTTCCGGCGGTCCAGACTCCTGATACATAGCAAGAGTACTCAATCTGCAAGGGTATAATAACCCCACGGGGGGGGGGGGGGTATACATGTATACTCTTGGTACTAGTCAGTTAGTCACATGATTGTATTACCATGATTACCAACCCGTGACCTATTTCCGACGAAACACAAACCCTAGAGCCCGTGTCCCATCAAGAAAAATGGTTACAGGGGACGTTCCTAATGTCACTTGCGCTACCCTCAAAGCCTTTCAATTCCCTCATTGCGATGAAGTACGTGGTAGGGCACAGCCGCAGGGAGCACACTTCTGACACGTGTTCGCCACGCCAAGCAACACTAGTGCACTGCGTGTTCAGTTACACTGTACGTCTGTAGTTTGGAAGGAGCACGACAGGCCAGAGCAGGGGTTTCCTGCCTTCCACTATCCAAAGACAATAATAATTACTACGTATTGGTTGGGATGAAGAGCTTGTGTCGACTTGTGCCATGAAAATGCCACAACAATAATGCAGATACATGACACCGCATGCAACCTGTGTGGTAGAGCATTTCCGAGTCTCTAAGTAGACTACTAAGGAGTGAGTATGCAGCTGAGCTATGCTAAGTGAGCCACTTGACAGTGTTGGAATACTCGTCTTCTACTCCACTCTCTAGCTCTACTCAGCTCCGCTTTCCAGTCTACATTGGACACTTCACACATCCTCGGAATCTGTCACACTCAAGCATACCGGCCACAATCAGCGTTCCGAGAACATCGCGCATGTTTCAAGTCGTCGTAACACAAAATTGGTAACACGGGGATCGATCTTGCACCTGTTTTCGAAAGTACGCAGGGGCTACAATCCATTTCTACATAGAAGCGAATGAGAAAGGATCTCACCTTGGTCTCATCCAAGCTACAGCAATACAGGATGATGTTTATCATTCTGTAGCTTGGATGAGACCAAGGTACATGTACTACAGCTGGTGATTTGAACGCAGCCATCTCCCAGGCCAGGGTCACCTCAGTGGTTATCGTTGCATCGAAACTACATTGTACATTGTACTACAATGTCAATGTAGGGGAGGTAACCAATGATTATGTACATGTGCATGTACTGTATATCCTTTTTTGCTGAACCCACAAATAATATTATTATTGTGATACAGATTGTAAAGAACCATTCGAGATAAGGAAATAGCCAAAAAGAAGAACTAGGAGAAAATGTGAGGTACTGTCGTTTATTTACCGGTACATGTATTACACATTTTACAGTCATTGTAACAGCTTACATGCATGCTTCCAAGTATCAGTACATGTATCTTATTACACAATGGCGTAAACATTGTACATTGTACCAATTATGCACATCCCACTATCGTATTACCACTGAAGTACACATCTACATAATAACAGCTTACATGTACAATCAAGTCATGTACATGATTGTATACTTCGAACTTCGAAATATCAGTACGTCATGTATCTGACACAATGACCGCTAGTACTGTGACTACTGTCTGCTACTTTCCATCGTTTGCAGAGTTCGAGCCGTCTCAGAACCAGGGAGTCGTATACAAGGTCTATACGACTCCCTGCTCAGAACTACGGTCGGTGCACGTTAAGAGTGTCCATGGACTCTTGTATGCACATGTACGAGTAGAAGATGAAGTGGCTGGCTGGGAAACTAGACACCGGAGAAACTGGCGTCGTAATTCCCCATCTGCGCAAAGTGCACAATGCCGCTGTCCACAGGGGAGGTTCTTGCTGTCATTCTACACTGTAATGACTACGGCCCGGGTATGTAGTACATGTGCATGATGTTGATCATCGATGATTGAGGTCATGTGACTCTTGTCGCTAACGCTGGCTTATTTGGCAGCAGGGGAGACCTCATGGGTCCAACCACTTACATTAAAATTTACAACCCAGTACTGTAGTTTTAATAATAATAACTTTATTAGGATGACCCAAAGGCTGACCGCCTATTTAGAGCATTTACATGTCAGAACATGACAATTGACATGCAGTCTAGTATTACTAGTGTCGCGAAAAGCTCTGTTAGTGTTGCGTGTCGGTCGATAGGAGGGTCGACCTAATCACTGTGTTGTACATGACTATACTAGTATAATAATAACCCAATACAGTACTAACAACATGACTGTACTAGTAAAGTATTTTATCGAAGCGAAAGTGCGCTGATAGACAGTTCAAGCAACAACAATCCTAAAAGTAAAACAATTCTCCACAATACTCATTGGCAGACTCGTCAGAAAGCAACAGACTGAGACTGGATGGCTTCCCCGGGCCGCCCAGGCCCTGACAGTACTCCTATCCGCAGGGGCGCACGGTTCAGAAATCGGGCAAGCGATCGCGCGACGCTGCCAGCTGAAAGGTTCCGTAGATCTACGGCGTGACGTCGGCATATCCACCCGAATTTCGGAGTCTTCCCGGCTAGTTCCCGCAATTCACGTGGTGCAGGAGCCCCAGAGTCCCCAGACCGCCACAACAATGACTTACATGACTGTATGTCATACACGGCTGTTGCTTGTTACAATTGTACAATTATGTACATGTAGAAGAAGGTGGTTGCTCGAAATGTGCGTGTTAGCGCTTCCCGCCAACTGACACTAGAGTAGTGACACTTGACTCAGTTACTAAGACAGTAGGAAGCGCCATCTCCAACGTTTGCACTGTTAGAAGCTTGGAGCAGTCACCTTCTAATATCCTCTGAAGTCGCAACATCGGCTCAGTTTGGATGTTTCATTGCTTTATTGCCTTGCATCAAGTAGTTCTTTCTTTTTTGGCTCACATGCAGGCAACGTAAGCATTATTGCACATCATCGAGGAAGGGAGAAGTACGAGTTGCCATGAAGCACCTACATTGTACATTGTACATTCACATACTGCCACATGTTACTGTATCTCTCAGCCGCTGTTATTTCATGGCTATTCCGGATGGCTATTCCGGATGGCTATTCCAGATGGCTAACTTGGAGAGGCTAAGATGATTATTTTGGTGAGCATTGCCCACCAAACTCTATTTATTATTGTCATAGACAAATGAGCAGACTGTGAACTGTGGGAATTGAGAACCCAATATTCAGGGTTGGGAGAGGTTTTTATTCAACTACTACTAGCAGCAGTCATGTAGTCGAGTAAAGACAACAACAATACACATGCCCCGGTAACTACATGCATGTACATGTATGTGCATGTACTTCAGTGGTGCTGTCATTTTACTGTTTGATGCCATGCGTTGTCTGTGATGATGCCATGCGTTGTCTGTGATGATGCCATGCGTTGTCTGTGATGATGCCATGCGTTGTCTGTGATGATGCCATGCGTTGTCTGTGATGATGCCATGCGTTGTCTGTGATGATGCCATGCGTTGTCTGTGATGATGCCATGCGTTGTCTGTGATGATGTCATTCGTTGTCTGTTTGATGCCATGCGTTGTCTGTGATGGCAAATACCAGCGGCACTGTAAAACCAAACAGTTTTAAAAATTTAATGTTTTTGTAATTTCGGCATGATAACGTGCAGAACGTTTAACGATGGCTACCTGGCCGGCCACCCCGTACCCATCTGTATGCACAGACATCTCCCCACAACGTTTCTTCAAATAACGGAAAAAATTGGTCGTTAAAGACTTTGCGACTCGTTAGACTTTCCGGTTTTACAGGAGTGTAATTATACACCATTTTTAAGTGCTGCAGTAGGGGGGGGGGACCACCGCCAATAACCCATCTACTAGGTACACGTGCTGAGTCCGTGATTGTACCTACGGAGGCCATGTTATCATAACTTATTAATAATAATTATAGTGTCGCATTCACAGTGCACTACGTGGTGATGCAGCCTGGGCAAGTGGTTAGACAAGCTATTCCTTGGCATGTGCTTTGGGTCGTTTGGCTCCCTGGCATGCACCCTGGTTGCATGCACATAGTCATTGGTGCAGGGTGCACCTACATGTATGGTGAATGCTGAAGGCTGGCGTACACCCATGGCTGCTGGTGACTTGTCTTGAGCACTCGTTCTGGTCAATGTTTTGCCCAGGTTTGCTGTTCTCTTCGCTTTGCTTGCTCTTCTCTTAAAAATGTTTGGACCAGGTCCATCTCCAGGCTAAATCAAGCTAACAGTTACTATGGACGAATCAGGGGTTGTTTACACACCTACATGTACTTGCATGTATGTTGGCGACAAATCAGGCCACTCAAGCCAACCACGTGGTCTGTATGCGGCTTGAATGGACTTGAACCTATGTTTTCTTTTAAAAAGTGAAGTTGCAGTTGCACGTAAACTGCTGTCTGATGATCGCCTCGTGCGTGAAACTCCGAATTACAACGATTTTTTCATCCACGGCTACTTTTTGTAAACATAAAAACAAAGCTTTCAATGGAGGAGACCTGGTCTCACGTACTACAGTACAGCTGTAAGCTGGCATTTGTTCAGGATCTTGCCTAGTCCAGAGCCAATTCCTGTCACTTCAATGATTCGACATTGGAGTGCTACTGGCCTTAGTATCCACTCTTCACTACCAAGTACCAGTTCCTCTGGCTGTGCGGACCACTAGCACTTAAAAGTTGATGGCAAAACTTAATGAAAGGCCAGCTTTGGAAACACCGCATGGTACTGCTAGAGCACCTGGTTTGCAACAAGACCCAGGGAGCATATTGTAGATCTACCAGCCCTTGTGTACATTGTCAATGTGATGTATGTGGATTTCGGTACCGGACACTGTACTGTAATGATTTGTAGACCCTGGACTGTTTAAAATACTGCCATGCAGTTAAAACTCAAGATATACTAGTAACGGGGTACTAGTATACCGGAATGAACACTAGTGTCGGATAGCCCAGGAGATGGACTACAATACATTGTATGATAGAGGTTATGCAGCCGTGTCTGCGTTTGAGGCGCCTGCATGGAGTGGCATCACAAGCCCTGGTCTGGCACTCCATAAGAAGCATGACTTTATACTTGATTCACAATTATACCTAAATCCAGTCCGTGTAAATCTGCTGCATACCGGTACATGTACATACTGTATGTAGTACATATGTACTACTAGTATACATGAGAGACATGCATACAGTGTACGTGATGCTACTACTGTACTAGTACTACAGACTAGTACAGTTACAAGGTAGTAGCTACTACTAGTACTAGCGGTATGCACACAAAATAGACAGTATGTGTGCTCTACTGAATGGCTTCCCTATGCTGCTGCAAACAAAGTCACGAAGACACAGAGAGAGATTGAACTAATTACTTACTGTGACTCCCCACATTGCGCAAATACTGTCCCAGAGTGACCCTAATGTTAGGAGGTAGGTGTTAGCAACCTCCTGTGTTACACGAAGAGGACCACTCCACAAAATACTGTGGACTCCCTTGCTGAGCTGTAGACCACCACTGGTGGGACTTGTGACAAAACTAATACTTTAATGCATGCATGGATGTGTAGAGTACGGACATTGGCCAACCACGCATTGTTCATGTACACCCTACACGGTATGTCAGCCAGCCTTGGGATTTGCCAACCACACTCTACTGTGTACTAGTATGCCAGTGGCAGGGAACGCAAATGCTGAAACAATGCCGTTCCTACACATTAACCATCCCGGTGCAATGTTTGTACTCAAAGTCCAAGGCACAACTAACTAACTTCTAACACACGCACACACACACACGCGCACACGCGCGCGCGCACACACACACACAGGCACACACCGGACCGGAACAATGAGTACCACAAACGCAGTCAGACAGAAGGCCACTCACCATCATCAACAGATGCCAGGCCTGGTGTGAGTGTCGACGACCCCGCCAACAGCGCCGCAAGCAGGTACATATGCTGTAGAATCAACATCTTTCTTGGGGAAGGAGACGACACGCAGAGACAGAGTACTGCTCAGGAACGACACGTCACCAGGGTAGCAAGAAGTTCTGGTGCAGGAGTGACCAAAAATTATTATCTTTGTGTGTCCCCCGACCTGATGCTAAGTGCCTCCGTTTCTACTTCCTACGCCTGCTGTGCGCCGTGCTGGCTGACAGCGTGCGGTACTCAGTATCCCACTCTGCGGTGCTCTACCAACCACTGTTACTCGGAGTACTCCACTACAACATCCATGTCCTTGCGCTACTACTAGTACTTAGTAGCCTTGATTCGCTTACGCACACAACAGCTTCCGTCTCTATTTCAAATAATTATTTCGAAATGCTGTGTGCATGCAGCTACATGTAGCTGCAAAGACTAAGTGACGTGCCTACTTCACCTGCTTCTGACAAAATGAGATGTAAAACTCGGCTCTTGTACTGTAGAGTGTAGTAGTGGGTCTACTGCTACTAACTCACTAACTGTTACCATACTAGTGTCAGCTGTAGATATTTCGACTCAAACTGACCAGAAGTCAACTAGTCGTGGCCTAGACGAAGGGCCGTTGTATTGGCGCAAACTGGCGCTAGCTGCGATAACTTTACGGGAGTCGATGTTGCCCCTGCTGACAGATACCTAACTTAGCGCTAAGCCCGCCACCCGGCCGTTGTCTCGGTCTACGACGTGTAACTCCGAATATAATAGTACCATGCACCAGGGTTGGATACTGTCTGGAGTTACAGGGATTGTCACATCTGGAGCAGAAACCTTACTTATCAAGTGACAAAGCTGACTCGGAGAACTTTGTTGCCTTCACTGTGGGACGCCCTTTCGTGATGTGTGCGTTGAGAAACGTGTCCAGTTACCGGAACGGCTGGTGGATGCCAACAGGCAACTAACTTACTTCTTTTTCCGCCGACGTTTTCCCTCCGTTGTCCGGCCTGTTCCGCTGCCGGGTATCATGGGATATGCACGTGTGACGCTCTAACTCAGCTCGCACTCGCAGTGCATGCTAGCGAAGAACGAAGACGGCACGCGACCATGCATGGCATGTTGACGACGTACATGTAGAGGGGACGGTTTCAAATAGGACACCGGTTGCAAACGGGAACGGACTCAATATTCACTTTCTCTCTTGGTATTTTGATTAGAAAACATATGTCACAGTGAGACTACTATGTGTTATACTCCGAGCCAAAATTTCATGGCTCTGCGATGACCAGAAGCGCCATATCAAGCAGGCGAGTTTTTGACGTGTTGCTTCGCACTGCGACTTGAGTTTTACGACTTTCGAAAAATCAACTTCTTGTCGCAGGTAAACAGCGGCTCGCCTCTCGCCAATAAAGCACCGCATACCAATCAAAACTAATGGAAGCACACACAAGGCTTATTGTTACTCTGTACTGGCCGTCGTGGAGCGATAGCAATTACCTAATTTCAGACCCAGAGTGAATTTGACGTGCACTCTAAAACGTGTCCGGTTTGGAGCCACCTCTGATTTGAACTTTTTTGAAGCGAAAAATTGGGCAACTTGGAGGCAATGGGTCAACACAAAGGAGTGGCTCAGTTCGATTGACTCTGGCCCCAGAGCAAACTTCAACATGCCAGTTTCCTTCCACAAACATATTTCGAGTGAAAAATCAACGTTGATAATCGGTTTGGGTCTATACAAATTTGGCTGTCAAAACGTCCCGGTATCGAGCCGTCTCCTCTACATGACTAGACTGTTTACATCCAATCCGAGTGAAACAGATCCAGACAGATAACTGCGCAACCCGCACAACTGGCGAAGCCATGTGAATCGACCCCAATGCACAACTGGTCTACACCGAACGGAGCATTGGAATGGAACAGGGCGGCCAAGATAGCTATCTATCTATGCACACCCTACACTAAAATTCTGCTGGGGTAACCCGTATACGGTATAGAAAGGGTACGCTTTCCAACGGCCAAAGAGAGTTGGAAAGCTTGTGTCTTTGTGGGTAACCTGAACATTTGGGCTCATGCAAAATCGCACCGATTTTGGGATTTCCCCACAACTTTTTGCGTCCGCAAAAATGTTGTGCTGGACCGCATTCCTGTCACTTCGCAGTGGCTTTTCGTTGGTGCAGTTTGTATCCCACCCTCCCACCCCTGACTTCTGGGTGTGTGTTTATCGATATATTATCGTATTGGTTTTTCTTATTGGCCATGTGGCTGTTGCAGTTACGACTGCTTTTCTTTTTTAGTTAAAAAACGTAGGGGTGGTGTGTGCGTCGTGGGCCATTGTATGGTTACATACAGCTTCAGATTGTATGGCTAGTGACAGGGGGGTTGAGTCTGCAGGGGAAGAATACAGTGATTGAACTGAAGCTGGATGATGACCGTGTGGTGAGTGTGTGGGGGTTTCGAGATGCCGTCCTGGGGCAGGGATGTCGGTCCTTTAGCTTGGACGGGTGTTGTTACATTCATTGTAACATTTTGTCGTTTTCTGTGTATTTTGCTGTGCGACTACAGTAGCAGCAGTGTCTTGTGCTAATTTTTCTTATGATATCAGGCCCTATTATTATTATTATGCTCTATTCGCGTTAGCATCAGTGAGCTTATAAAGCTCACATATAGCCTTCGCTTAAGCCGCAAGAAGGAGCAAGTGAGCGCGAGGAAGCGCAATGCACACAGAGCGTCAAAACAAAACAAAAAACAAAAAACAGAAAAAAGAGACAAGCTGCAAGAAGGAGCAAGTGAATGCGAGGAAGCACAGTGCACATCAAGCATCACAATCACAAAAAAGACAAGATGGAAACGCAAAGTTATGTCCATTGTTGCATTAGCGGCTACATACAACCTTCACCAGGTCCTGCCACTGAGGGCGATCCTGGGCGAGCTGCTGCAGCCTGTTGCAGTCATCTCCATTATCTATATATAAAGGTATAAATTATGTCCATTGTTTCATTAGCAGCTACATACAGCCTTCACCAGTTCCCGCCACTGTCGACGGTCTTGGGCAAGCTGCTGCAGCATGTTCAAGTCATCGCCAGTCTCTAGGGCGGTATTATTTTTCAGCTTTTTGAGATCATTATTGAGCGTTCGCGGGAGCGTTGTTCTTGGGCGTCCCCTAAAGCTGGGGCCGTTACCCCCTAAGAAGTAAGCTCCCATGGCACGTCTGGCTGGGGCTGCCTCTTCCAAACGCAGCACATGACCAAACAGCCTCCATCTAGCATCTCTGATGATTTGGCTCACGGGACGAGATTCTGTGCGTTTATACAGGGAAGTGTTCTTTATTATGAGCGGGTATTTAATGCCTATCACTGTTCGCAGCTGCTGCCTGTGGAACGAGTCCAATTTCCGCTCCTGTGTCCCCGTGAGACTCCACGTGCCACAGTTATAAAGCAGGATTGGTAGAATGAAGCTATTATAGAGGCGCACTCGTAGAGACTCTCTGATGTGTTGCCCTCTCAGCCATATCACCCACATCCGGTGAAGTGCGCTTGTAGCCAACCGTTTTCGTCGGCCTATGTCCTCATCCACTCCAAGCATCGAGCCCAGCTTTATTGTGTGTCGCCACTGTTCCTCTATTCGATCCTTTTGTCTGCTTATCATGGTGTGTTCCGTCTTCCCCTCATTCATCTTCAAGTTCCACTCTGCTAACGAAGAGGATATTGTAGGAAGGCAATCTTTTAGATACTGTTGGTCGGTACTGATGAAGTCCACATCATCTGCATATTCCGACTCTCCGGGCAGAAGCAGCTGGACGTCTCGGTCCTATGCGTACAATTATTCAAAAAAGAAAAAGAAAAAAAAGAAAAAAATATCAGGAAGGAGATATAATACGAACTTAGAAGTTGCGACTTCGGCGGTAATAGTCATGAAGTTGATTGTTCCAACTAAGAACACACGCTTCTTGCCGAACTTGACACTTGACTGACTCACGACTGCCATCCGGAGCACACGAGGAGCACGTCGCACCTTCCACTCCGCAAACCTGCAAGAAAGCACCACTCCCTGCTCAAACCACGGTGTTTCGGGGAATTCACCCCTCATCAGTTGAGCTTGAGTAGGCTGAGGAAGATTGTGCCTGAAAAGCACCACTTATATACTGCTCTCCAGGCCAAACCATCACCAGGGATACAAACTTACAGAGACGCTTTGTTTCCAGCGCGACAAACACCTCGTGAAGCTCCAGGTAGCAGCGTGAGTCAGAGTCGCTCATGGAGTGTGATAAACAGACGTTGAGAGCCAGTATAGCTATTCGCAACGCTGTCACCTCCAACAACTAGTCGCACGTCCGCGTGAGGGACAACAATACGAACTTAGAAGTTGCGACTTCGGCGGTAATAGTATTGAAGTTGATTGTTCCAACTAAGAACACACGCTTCTTGCCGAACTTGACACTTGACTGACTCACGACTGCCATCCGGAGCACACGAGGAGCACGTCGCACCTTCCACTCCGCAAACCTGCAAGAAAGCACCACTCCCTGCTCAATACACGGTGTTTCGGGGAATTCACCCCTCATCAGTTGAGCTTGAGTAGTTCGGCAAGAAGCGTGTGTTCTTAGTTGGAACAATCAACTTCATGACTATTACCGCCGAAGTCGCAACTTCTAAGTTCGTATTTGGATTGGATTGGATTGGATTTTTATTTATAGTGGTGACTATAACAGACGATTGCCTAATAACAATAGACCCACTCGAGGGAAAGATGCAAAAAGATATGAATAATTAATATAATAGACTACCGGTATTGGATAGGTGATCATGTTCGCATTTTGCATAGCTGAAAGTCATAATTACTAGCGTGAAAAAGCAAGGCATTGGGGTAACAGTTTCTTAAAACGGGCGGAGTTATCCACACAGCGAGCTAGAGGGTGCAAATCATTCCACAGCTTAGCACATTGGAAGGAAGCGCCATGACGGGCAAAGGCAGTTCTGAGCATGGGCAACTTAAGAGTGCGTAAATTTTCATAAATTTTCTTAAAAAAATTCCACAATTTAAAAAGATGAGCTTCGAACACACACTATCGCCCTGCATGCATCCTCTCTATAGTCTACACGCTTCCCCGAAAACGTTCTACCCAAGTTGCTTCACGTAATGATCCTGCGGTATTGTTGTCCCTCACGCGGACGTGCGACTAGTTGTTGGAGGTGACAGCGTTGCGAATAGCTATACTGGCTCTCAACGTCTGTTTATCACACTCCATGAGCGACTCTGACTCACGCTGCTACCTGGAGCTTCACGAGGTGTTTGTCGCGCTGGAAACAAAGCGTCTCTGTAAGTTTGTATCCCTGGTGATGGTTTGGCCTGGAGAGCAGTATATAAGTGGTGCTTTTCAGGCACAATCTTCCTCAGCCTACTCAAGCTCAACTGATGAGGGGTGAATTCCCCGAAACACCGTGTATTGAGCAGGGAGTGGTGCTTTCTTGCAGGTTTGCGGAGTGGAAGGTGCGACGTGCTCCTCGTGTGCTCCGGATGGCAGTCGTGAGTCAGTCAAGTGTCA